GAATTAATTCGAAAACAATAAAACATGAAGTGAAAGTAATGTTTCGCATTTCATTATTTATCGTTTTTGATTCAAAAGTGATTATTTACAATCGTACATACATATGTATGTGTATGCTCATTCACATGTACATATGTGCAGTTATTCCCTTTGTTTGTTCATAAATAACAATAATAAATTTTCCATTATAGTAATTGAATTTAATGGAAAAGCCAATTGAGCTGAAAGACAGGCGGCAATTTGAAAATAAACAAAAGCACACACACACGCATACACACATTTACACACTTACTTACTGGTATAAAAAATTGTAATTCTAAACTGGTATTCAAAGGATGAAATTATACTAGTTCGTTGTAAACTAGAATTTTACTAGACTAACTGTACTAGTATTCTTCGGTCTTATGCTGAACTAGTTTGTAAAAAGTCTGCTTCGAGAACTGGTGTCAAATGCGTACTAATGTGGGGTCGTATGCTATTTTAGACCTCTATTAATAACTACTATATACAATAATCGCCATAGCCGAGTGTACTGCCATTCGGAAGACTAGAATTTGAATCCTGCGTCGACCAACATCTGAAAGTTAGAGAGAATTCATTTTGTTAATTGCAGTTGTCCTTCGGCAGACAATATCAAACCCTCCCCGAACATTTCTGACAGGAAGTAAAAATTCCTTAAAAAAATGCATCAGCCGTTCAGATGCAAGTTGGTACACACTGTATGCCATTTCGTTTGGACATTGACAAAGATGAGTCCCACCACCATATATTGTCCACTGAACGCATACTTTTTTCTGGCGTCACCGTTTGGGAGGCTTTCACTCGATAAAATTACGTTTAGAAGCAAACTGAATGAAGTCAAATGGTCCCCAGAAAGTACTAGAAGTTGTTTTATACTTTCTTCCACTAGATCTCTATGGAATATTTCCAGAGAGTAGTAACACAGTAAGACTGAACGCAGTTAGATTTAAGGCAACTAAGGCTTGTGGATGCCGACATGTGGCATACTCCCGGTCACTAAAAATAATAAAAAAGGTTTGTTCTATACGAAAGCTGTAGCCAGATCCATATTTTCCTACCGCGTTACCGTTTATCTGGTGTATTTTCGATAAAAATTCCTTTAAGGAGATGCTAGAAGCTCTTTCAAGGGAGCTCTAACACAGTCAGACTGAACGTAACTCAAGGTCGGAGATACCGAAGTATAAAGCATATCCGAATGCTAAAACTATCTCTATCGCCTGCGGGGTGGGGGTTCAATAATTTTCCTGCTCTAAGCGTTAACTGTAAAAAGGGGCGACTAAGATCTAACCTTTCCACCAGAACGACCCGGATTTTTACTACTTTGGGGAATACTTTTGCGACTACACTAACAACAACAACGTCAAAAGTAACGACAAAACTCTGATTTTGGTTTTTTTTAAACACTTTTCCACAAGTAGCTCTGAAAACCACGAAAGCAAAAACTAGTATATTCTAGATCAAAAAGCAATAGCCATTTGCATAGATGGCTCAAAACTAAATGAACAGTTAAAACGCGGGATCCCCACCCCGTCACTCTCTTTCAAATTAAGTATAAAACTACTGGAGCACTATGGCGTCTTCCCAGCAGAATCTACAACTACAACTATATACACAACAGATCTCTTCAATCGAATTGTACGATGCCAAAAGTGACTCTCAATAAATTGCAGCACGACATCATTAGACTGACTTCTCGGGCATGTCAGATCGGACATATCAGGTAACTACGACGCGGACGAGTTTTCGTATCTGCCTTGAATCCCTATTACCAACAGGGGCTCAGTGTATGAACAGGAAGAAGGAGAAGTCCTAAACTGGTTAAAAGGGAACTAGAATTTTAGTTGATATACATTAACTGGTATTTAACTAGTATGAAGCTAAATAGTCAAGCAATTGAACTTTCGTAAAACATTTCTGTGTTGAAAATATCAGAAGCTCACTTTGAAATATTTAATTATAGCTGTGCCGTCATACATTTTGAGTAAAAAATGTAAAACCAATTCCATTCCAGTCAGCAACTAGTATTTTCCCTATGACTATATACACATATATATAATATATTAATATACTTTCCATGTGGATCTACATGTAAATTTTCAAACCGAATCGATACCTTTGCCAAGCCTATGGAGTGGCATGTGGAATACAAAGACATAAATAATATACCCATAAATATACATATATAAATATATATAGGTATCCATACATACATACATACATACAGTTGCATTTCCATTTATTCGTTTGGTGCATATATAAATTACATAACTGTATGTTAAATTTATGGTAGTGATTACATTGGGCCGCAAGCGTTTACCGATTGAAACAAATACATTTAAAACTCCCAAAGGTATGAAAACATACACATGTACATATGATGCGGTTGAAGGCAGTTAAGAATATGTGTATATATTCTGCTGAAAATAGCAATGAATTTCTGGCAAATCGAGGAAAAAGCAAATAAGAAATTGAAACAAAGGTAGGTTGTTAATACCGGCTAAGTCATCATTTTCTTAAGCCAAATTCTGCCAATTTTTTTACAGCTTACACAAGTACAAATTTATGTAAGGTCTCTTGTACGCAATAATCATGAGAGTGGGATCACTCGATTTGTTTCCGTTTTTGATTTCATCGGGAAAATCCTCTCCAGCCTTTTAAGCAGAGAATGCCAGACTGAAGGGTTTGTATCTCTTCAGCGCAGAGTAATCATGCCAGCCTTCGGATTACACAACACCTTTACCTCTTTCCATCTGTTCTGTGTTACGACAAGGGAATGCACGTTATGTTAATAGTTTCAAAAGCTCTTGATAAAATTTCAGTGTCAGAACCGAGCACATCTCTCTGCCCATATAACTTTGGGGTCCAATGGTGTTATGTTGTGGAAAGTAAGTATCCAATCAAATTTTTATCAAATCTTGTAAATATAAGAGTTTTCTTGGCTACAATTTTCCCATTAAAAGCTTGCATCCATAAGCACCTTTGCCGCTATTTCGATAGCGACTCTTTTGGCTTGGAAGATACTACAATGGTTTACTAGCTTAAATAACTTTCTGATATTCAATTGCGCTTCGGCCACCGTTCATTTTGGAATTATCTGTTAAAAAAAATGCAGAGTTTCAGCTGCAAATATTAGACCTTTGCTACAGCCATTGGCAGACAGCAGCCTAGTCCAGTCGTACACTTTACAGTTAAAGCTATACTCGACTAACCGGGTGTAGTGATTCTCAGCTGCCTAACCTCGTAGTAGTTATGAATGCTCTATTTTCCGCCTTCGGATTTGATATGGCTTGTCTAATGTGACATGAAGTGCTGCAGGTGACGGTGCTTTGAATGATCTGGTGATGTTGATCATTGAAAGTGTGAAGAAGCTTTCGACTCTATCCCAAAAAGTATTGGCTTAACAATCGTTACTAAGATCCATCGCGCAAGAGCAGGTGAGAAGCTGTAATTTCAATCCAACTTCCTTTTATATGTGTATGGCACCACTGAAGTTTTCTTCAGTCAAGACTTCATACGGAATCGGTTTTTTTTTCTTGACTCGCTTGCTGCCTTCAATATTCGATTACGATAATCGCCCAGCAGAGACGCTCATACGAGCAACCATGGATTGATTTCGTACCGCGTTAACTCTAATAGATGCGCTTCCTTAGAGATTATGTATAGAAGCTATTGCAGAGTATCATTGAAGACTGGTATGACTTGAGGGCTCATAAAATCAAATTTGAGCATGAAATGAAGCCGAACAACTCTCCAGCCTGAGATAGCCATCAATACCGGTTTTCACAAACACATTTTGGTTACGCGAGCATGATAAAATTGTGGCATTTGGAGTGCTGATAATCCACAAGCAATTGTTGAGACGCCGCTACAGCCTCAGTAGGTCACTGTTTCGTGCGGAGGGTGTGAATCATTGCGCAATATTTCTTCAAATATGAAGCCGACCATCTTGTAGCAGTCAATGGACAATGCTATAGAGCCGTGATTATTGACTTTTTAGTGCCTAAATTCAACCATATTTATGTGACCGACTTTTGGTTTCAACAAGGCGGCCTACAGCCAATGAAACAAACAGTTTATGGAAGGAAACTTTTAATGAGTGCATTATCTCGCGCCCTGTGGCGTGGCCCCCAATAGTAATGCGATTCAACGCCGCTAAACGATTTCTTGTTGGACCCTCTGAAGTTGCTTGTCTACGCAGATTGACGCCCTGGAGGAGAATATGGGCACGTTATTACTGACATCCGCCATCTGTTGCCGCAAAAAGTGGTCGCAAATTGGCCTTTCGGCTGGAATTTACTAGTGTAAGCCACGGCGGTCACCAGCTCAATATCATTTTTATGGCAGACCTTAGTCTTTATAATGAAGTTAAGTTCATCTTGTCTAAAAAACAGCCTTCACTTTGTGCTAAGTTTCAGCTGCATTGCGGCCGCACCCAGCTGTGGTTTAATCAAAGCTGGAATTTTGTATTTTTTTGTAATTGGAAACTTAAGTTCATTTGAAGCTTCCCTGCAGGAATGCTGAAATTCTGGTTAAATGCTGTTTTTTTGCAGATGAAATGATTTCAGTTGGTAATTTACATACTCGTATATGGATGAGTTGCAGTCTCTGTTCATCGACTGGTTAGATGATAGTGCTATGGCGCGTTAGGCTCATGGCTCGAGTCTCGTTGTAAGTTAAATCATTCGTATTTTATGCATGCATAAATGAACTGGTATACCACTAGTTTAAAGCTGATGCATAATCAGACAATTGACAGATTTTACAACATGAGAGTGTCAAAATACCAGTTGCTCACATGGGAACTATTTAGATGGAAGATGAACTAGTATTTTTCCCTGCAGGATTTTTATAAATTTATATTTTACATATTGTCGAAACCAGAAAGAAAATTTATTTCATTTATTTACTTGTAATAAATACAGTCAACAGACATTAAATCATTCGAATAATATTCATTCGTATAATAATCAACCACTTACACAATTGATTGCAGAGGAAACCGCAACAGTTGTTCGCATCATCAAAGCAGACAAATCCATGCGCAATCATTAATCATGATCCCAGCAGGATTAACGAGCTGTAGTTGCTGCCCCGTCACCAAACATCATCGCCAGTAAAGCTGAAATGATATATAAAATAATCAATTAGAAATGCGCAAATATAAAATTCAAATGCTTTTGCCAAATACCACGAACTTTGCGTTAATTACTTAGTAAAGTGGCAGACTTGTCGTCGGCCAAAAGACCCATACAACTCAGCGCTGACCTAGCTGTGCGTTAGTCTCGAAATCGACATTTCGGACAAGTCAGAATGAGACGAAGATGGTTGGGTGAATGAGGGTGGTTACAGATCTGACCGTAAGCGACTGTATTTAAGCCGTTAAGCAGGCTCATGGCTTTCCCCGTGTATCTCTACTAGGCGTTTGGGAAAAATTCGCTTGATTTTATAAATTCCTGAGATTGAAGCTGGGAACATCTTGGAACATGTGACGTATGAATTGACTGAAGGCCTGTCAGTCATAAAGGTGGTGCAAGCAAAGAAACATTGAAGAGTTTGATAGATTTTTACATCTAGCCAGCTGCGGATGAGGGCCTACTTTCAACACTACTTTCACACCTCTATCACCAGACACAGCTTTGAATAATCGCGCTCGGAAATGGAAAATATACTTTTGGTATTTTTCTGGATATATCTGGAGCGTTCAAAAATCTTTTTAAACATTCTTTAATGGAAGGCTTAGCCTCAGAAGTGGTCAGCCAAGTCCTTAGGGAATGGCAACATCTCTGATAAGCTGCAAAAAGACGTCGGGACGAGGTATGAATGTAGGGAATTCCCACAAGGTGGAGTGCCATCACTCTGTCTCCTCTGGACGATTGCGGTTAATTAGTTGATCAAGCATATGGAAGGCGGTGCTGTCATGCTTAGAGCCTATGCTGACGATTTCCCAGTCATAGTGGCCGGAAAGTGTTTGGCAAACCGCGGATCTCTGGCGAAACATGCACTTAGCAGCATTACCAACTGGCTTATTTCCACAGGACTCAAGGTTAATACTGATGCAACTGTTTTGGTTCTACAGACAAGTAAGTATAAATTCCAGCTTGGATCTAGGCAAAACTAGGAGAGACCGTTTTACAGCTGAAACTTAGCACCAAGCTTCGAGGAATTAAGTTGAATGGCAAGTTTTCGTGAAGACTCCATGTTGAGGAGCGAGTGAAGGAGGCTATAACGGTTATATATGCTGGTAAAAGGATGTTTGGCTGCAGTTGGGGTCTTTCCTCCGCTATTTACCGCTGGATCTTCGTTGCGTTTGTTAAGAAAATACTTTTCCACGGTGCTTTAATTTGGTGGAGACACAAAATGGCATATCTGTATGGGCTGCAAAGAGCATTCAGACTTTCAATGATTAGCATCACTGGGGCACTTGAGACAACACCGTCTGCAGTGCGCGCTATATGCGATTTTGGGAATTCCACAAGCAAACCGGGTCGCTATAAACAGATCATTCCTAACTGGCTATATGACAGACAAAGCTTCTCATGTGTTGCTAAAATGAGCGAAGAGGAGGGAGCTTCTGTTTACTGCGACCAACTGGATCTAAAGAAGTCGTTTAAGCTGCCAAATCATTGTAGGGACGTAGTAAACAACCTTCCATTTCATTGAGGGAAATGCAGCAAAAGCAAGTAGTAACAGAAGTTCGTCAGGCAAATGGCCTCTAGGAACAAGTTAAGGGCTGCAGGGTCACTTGTGTTAAACGTGTAACTCACAAAATTTGTACTATCTGTAAAGAGCCTAGACTCAAGCCTGCTGATGGGACTATTAACAAGACATTAACTTTTGGCGGTGCATGCCTTGAGGTCAGACTGGGGACAACAAACAAAGCAAATGTAAGGAATGTGTTGGGACAGTGGAACACAGGAAGGTTAAAAGATTTTCAATCAGCAATGGCCATGAGGCCCGAACGACTAATTCAGTTCGCTAAAAGAACAGCAGTGCTCACGCTGAAGATACAACAGGAGTGTAGCTCTGCAGTTTGGTCGCAAGTATTACATCTGGCAGTACTATGAATGCACTCTCTTCGATGTGGGTCACCACCTATCCTAACTGTGCAAGCTCTGTACACAACCGACTTCATTTTATCTAACTTATGGAGAAGATATCTCAGGGGAATGCTAAGACCTCCGACGACTTAAAGTGAAAATATTTGTAGGTTCACGAATACAGCAACTAATAGAGGAAAACTGAATGATCAGTAAACATTTCTCTGGCAATGTTTTGTGAAAATTATACAGAACTCTGTTAGAAACCATTAATCCGATAATTATAATTAAATAATTAATAAAATTATAATGTCATATGCGACTATATATTAATTTCATTAATTAAACTACGACGCCTGTTTGTTTGTATGAATTAAATATTTGTTATACAACAAACAAAAAATGGTAGAAGTGCCAGCTGTTTCGGAGATCACCACATCTCCTCGTCAGACTTCTTATGGCATATGCATTTCACATTTAAGTATAGTTTTTGTGTTATTTTGTTTAATTTTCCACAAATCCATGAGAGCCAATTTCAATAGCAAATGATCTTTGCAAATATACCTGCAAGTGTGTGGTAATTAGCATTTAACTTCAACAACCTAAAAATAGTTTAATCCTTTTTGCAGTCAAAGACATGTCCTTGCCGTCAACTGAGTTGTCAACAGTCGTAATCTCTTCTACCAACTCACCGTACAAACAAAATCTCTCTTTGATCTAACCAAAGACACGAATAAATATGCAGAATACTCACCTTTCAGAGCGCCACGTGTACTTAAGTATCTACGTATATATACGTACATATATATAAAACGAAAATATTTATTTGACAGTAAAATATGCAACGTGAAAATTCACTAAATTAGCACAAATTGTTTTTGCACTAAGAGCACTTTGTATTTATGAAGTGTCGCTATTTGCCAATTTGAGGAAAAGCACAGCACTAAGTACATAGGAGGAGATATACATAGGAATATATATAAGCAAATATTTATATATGTACGTACATATCTAATTTTCTAAAGGAAAGCATGCAGAGTCAACGTGTCTCGCTACACTGTCACATATAAATTCCCTAAGAAAGTCCTCGACGCCGCGTCGTTTCTTCTTAGTAATGAAGTGTTGATTCCTTAGATTTGTTTTTAATAAACTTTGCTATGAGCGAGGGAGGGCTGCACTAAGTGGCAGGCTGATTAGACGTTTTAGAAAGAGAAAGGGTTCAAAGTTTTTGTATTAGTAGAAAAAGGCAAAAGACAAAATGAAGTTTAACTGTAACTGAACTCTTTGAAACAAGGTGACTTTTAATGAAACGTCGTCTGCTAATGGCCCTGACTTTTTCTATACATACATAGCACATGAAGAAAAATATTTAGAATTTTCGTAGAGCCTATGTATGGTAGAGGTTGTTCTTTATATATGTGATTTTTCAGAAAAAATAAAACGCATACAATTTAATGTTATGCCAAAGAAGTTAGCCTTATTGAAAATATAAGAGTTTGCAATTATGTGTTAAAAAAAAGAATTACTGGAAATGCCCGTCCTCAAGTTCAGAAATAGCAGCTTTTTTTCGAGCTATCGAAGGCTGCTTCCAATTCAATGAGAAGCCACACTGATGAAGTTCAATCAGTTAGCTGACGGTGGGCTTTAGTTTTTTAGTCAATACTGTAGAGAGGATCTTATATGCGATATTAAGAAAACATATACCACTGTTATTGGCGCAGACTTTGCCTTTTTTCTTGGATTGAGTAGAACACTTGGTTTCCTATCGTCCGGCATGCTCTCATGCCATAATCCATCGGCCACCACGATGCTTTGTTGTTTTTCTAGTGGGAAATTGCTATTCAAACTTCTTCAAAATCGGAAAATGTAACATCTTTTCCATCGTCATTTATTGAGGCATCGGGCTCGCTATCTCCTGGTCTTACTTTTTCACTGCCATTCAGCAAACTAAGAAGTCTCTACTCCATAGATTCAGTATATTCGGATATGTGCCCTCTAGGAATCTACTTCGGTAATGAAACCATCCTTAAGTCATCGTATCTTTTGGTAGAATTTTCGGACAATAAACTTGTCAGTTAGCTTCGAAGTTCTTTATGCTCAAGCACTTCTTCTTTATAAGGTAATACGTCTTGCTACCTTCTACAGCTCTTGGTATCCATCTCACATGTTCAGCTTGATTGTGAGGTTGCGTGGTACACTATCTGCTCTCTCCTCACTGCGATAAGGCTGTCCTGATCGTACCAGTGGTTCTTGCGTCATTTACAAAATCCAATAGTTTGCAGCTGTACGTAGAGGCCCCTAAAACTCCGTCCCACAGTTCCCGTTTATCGAATTGCTGATGACTGCTCTCAGAGAGCAGGAGTGCAGGTTGAGTAGAAAACCTTGCTGCTGCCTGTCTCGGCTGCAGCTTGAACCTTCTTTATATTTGTGGAATAAAGCTTTTTGCTGCACTTAGCCGAGTGCGTATCTTTGCTACTACAATTTTGTGGCTCGAGTAAATGTTGGGTCTTCGGTGTCTACCCATGTCCTACTTACCCTCATAATCGATTTGAATATCAGTTTCCCATGTAGCTTAATAGATTTTCTTGTGCTGGAATCTTGTGCTAAATATAATCATAATTCCTCAAAAATCGATAACTCTCAACCTTTTCCTTTGTGGTTACTGAATTTTGCGGGTGCTTGCCCTGATGGACACCGCGTATCCAACAAGAAATTTGCACTCCTTTATATGGCCCTAATAAGAAATGTCACAAGAACTTATTATACAATACTTATCGCGGTGATACAGGCCCTTAATCTTACGAAAATACCAACCAGCAGAGTAACGGTATTCTCCCAATTAAGGTGGTTGCCGCATCTTGCACAAATATATAAATAGAGCATAGCCACGCGACTCTAATTGTATATGCGGAAGGTTGAGTGGATCTATAGATGATGGAGTAAGCTACCATAAGCCGTGCGGAGGTGGCTTAGTATGAACTGTGGGTTTCTCTACTTTGTTGGAAAAACATGAAGGCGCAAACCAAGAATTGCAGGAGGAGCTCTACCTAAAATCGCTTCAGCATTTGCAAAGCGCCCATTA